TTAGCTTATTTCTGTGCTTGTGGATCTGAATTCGACAGCCAAATGCTTGGCGTAAAGTTTCCGTGAGCTAACAAAAAATTAACAGAGGGATTGAAATTCCATGTGTTTCTTTCGGAAGTGAATAATAATAATAATAAACTGGAATAGGGCCGATGTGATTAACATATGTTGTTATATGCGCAAACAAAAATTTCAAATATTAAAAAGTAAAAATTAGAAAAGAATAATTTAAATAAATAAATGCTTGTCTGCAGTATGACTCAATCACCGTCTTTTATCATTGACATATACCAAAAATTAAAAAAAAACTTAGAGAATTAATTTTACGGCCAGTTATTCATGTATTTTAGTTTATTGTCTTCAATTACGTCTTTTCAGAATTATTTAACAGGGTGTTTTATTTTATTTTTAAAACCCAGCAGAGGGTATTTTAATAGTCAGAATTTTGCCACGCAGTGAAGAAGACGTTTTCGGCCCTATAAGGTATATATAAATTAATTATATGTCCTGTTTAAGGATTTATTTTAAGACGCACTGTACTGTACGAATGAGAAGACTTTGTAATTGCGAGGTTTGACCGTCACGGTTTATTTCCAAAATTTCACTAACTGCTAAGTTCATTAATTCCTACTGGGTAGCCACCGTTGCATCGGAGTGCATTGCCCGCTAATTGCGCTGACCGAAGCTTGGGATTTTGGCAACGTCGTTGTGCAACGTCCGCAGGAGTCGCTGGCCTTGCATTATTTTACTCGGTTATGCATGATCAGCTTGGGAACTTCCGTTTTGCTGGGTAACCATTTTAACTTGCATATAAACTTCGACTTGCCAATGTTTACTTCCTTTCTTCTGTTATTCACAAAAGCAAAAAAATCTTTTCACTGAAAATTTTTGTACACCACCTTCCACCTTTATGCCGATCGCACGTCTATATCCTAAAGCTGCCATAGGAACAATCGTATATAACTTACAAAAATTTAAAATATTTCGCGCAGTGTAAAAGCTCTTCACATGCATCTTTCCAAGTCGTATTTTTTATGCATACCTTGATCAGGGTAACAGCGCGTGCCAATCGGACATCTATATCCTAAAGCTATCATTGCAATGTTAGGGTGAAATCGGTCAAAATTTTATGTTTTTCAGGATATTTCGCGCAGTGTATAAGCTATTGACACGTATTTTTCCAAGTCTTATTTAATTACGCATACCTTCCTGGTAAAAGCGCTTGACGATCAGACGCCTATATCTTATAGCTTCCAAAGAAATAATTGTTGCACTTTTGATATTCCTTGCAATTTTAGCTTCCTTTCTCGTTATATTCATGCAGAGGGTATTAGAATTTCAGTCAGAAGTTTGCAACGCAGTGAAGGAGACATTTCCGACCCTATAAAGTATATATATTCTTGATCAGCATCCCTAGGCGAGTCGATCTAGCCATGTCGGTCTGTCCGTCTGTCCGTCCGTCCGTTTCTACGAATGGTGTCTCAGTTTTAAGTCGGAACCAGCCAGATCGGACGACTATAGCATATAGCTCCCATAGGAACAATCGAAAAAAAAATTAAAAAAATTAGAACATTTCTGTTTTTTAAGATTTTTTTTTTAGTTCTTCGACATATAATAATGGTTAATTATTTCAGAATTACGGTTTAAATTTCATCAAAATCGGACGACTATAAAGTATATATATTCTTGATCAGCATATGTCCGTCCGTCCGTTTCTATGCAAACTAGTCTCTTAGTTTTAAAGCTATCTGCATGAAACTTTCCCAAAAGTTGTCTTTCCACTGCAGGTAGTATATAAGTCAAAACGAGCCGGCTCGGAAAAAAAAAATATAAAAAAATAATAAGTTTTGTGTTTTTTTAAATATTTTATATTAATGGTTAAATATTTCAGAAAAACGGTTTAAACTTTATCAAAATCGGACGACTATAATATAAAGCTCCTATAGAAACAACAAATATAAAAAAAAAAATTTTTTAAAATTAAACTTTTTTATTTTATATTTTTTTTAGAAATTCTTTAATTGTTTAATAAAATTAAAAGCGTTATTCTGAACTGTCAAATTATTAATTAATCAAAAAGAATTTCTAAAAAAAATTACAAAATTAATAAGTTAATTAAGAGAATCATTGCTATATGAAATTAACCAACTTTCAAAGTAAATTTCGAGTTGCCACAAAAGATACTGTGCAATGTCAAGGTCAAGAATTTATTGAAGGACATTATATATCCATTTTACGAAAAGAGGGAATCTTTTTTAATGTCGATGACGCAATAATAATTAATCTTCTTGGCCTCCTAACAGCAAAGATTTATATATATTTTTCTATGAGAATAAAAAACCTAAAAAAACGAATTTCCAAAATTGTTTTTAAGAAAACTTTTGAATTAATGATCTTAAAATTAGTTCTCATATATTGTTATCTTTTAACTGTATTTTAAGACTTAGTATTAGTAAAATTATCTATTTGGAGGGAATCTACAGCTGACCTCCGGGAGCTTTTCTGAACTGTAACCTCCGAAATTAAAAAAACCAAACAGATTCCGTTAAGTAATGTTAAATCTAGTAATTTATCGTGGAACAGCGAATAACATTTTTTCTGGCGGTTTTTACAAAAAAAAATTGATTTATGACCAACATTTTGGTTTTAAATTGTTTTTAAAAAACAAAATATATTTTGGTGAGAAAAATCTTTGTTTTAAAAAAAATATATATTTATATGGATTCGTACCAAGACTTCAGGAAAATAATCTTTTTAGGTGGAGTTCTGCAGCGCGGGTTGTTTAAATATTTTGTTGACAATACCCGTCGATTGACAACCAGTTTTCTTGGATCCGATGCTCCGTTCAAAAGCTATTTAAAAATACATTTTTTCGGTATATCTAAAAATGAATATAGCGGGAAAACTCTAAAAACATTGCACTGAATTATTCTATAGCGTTTGTAACACGTTTTTAGTGAATGCGTTCCTGACAGTCTTCCTCCAAGACATAACAAACCTGCGTGGTTTACACAAGAGACTTAACCTAAAAACAAACACTTACAAAAAGTACAAAAAGACGGGCTAGCCATCTGATTTTTCGAAATATGTGGTTGCCCGATCGAATTTGAATGCTCTGAACAGTCATTGCAATTGTATGTATTGGAACCGGTGTAAAACCGAATATTCAAATAATCTGAAGCAATTTTATAACTTTGTAAATGTCAAGCGAAAAAAATCCGCCTTGCCTTCATAAGTACGATTAAACTCAACTGAAGCGTCTACTGACAACGAAATTGCTGATTTATTTGCCAAGTTCATCCAAACTACCTGTAGTGCGGAGTCTTGTCTAAATTAAGTTTACTCTTACAATTTAAACAGTTCAAATGGTATTTTATGTTTTGTGCCTCAACTATTTGCAAACCGATTCTTGAACTGTTTCAATTGTCTACCTCAACATCAGCTTTTCCAACTATCGGGAAAGATTATTTTAATATTCCACTCCATAAAACGGGAGGAAAGTCGGAGGTTCAAAATTATAGAGGTATTTCTAAATTGTCCACAATATTTAAAGCATTTGATCGCATTTATATTTCTCATTTTCAACATTTGTGTTCCTCACTAATATCACCTTATCAACATGGTTATGTTAAGCGAACCTACTGACATCTATTATAGTTAAAGTATTTATTTATTTATTCAAAATAGATGATTTCAGGTTTTCGAATAATCAATCAGCTCGGGTTTCAAGTTATTTGAATGGAAGAACTCAGAGGGTATTTTTAATAACGCAGTTTCAAATATGATTAACGTAACGTCTGGGGTGCCTCAGGGTAGTCATTTGGGTCCATTGCTATTTACTTTCTTCATCAATGATCTTCCTTCTGTCATAACACATTCTCGAGTATTAATGTATGCTGATGATGTTAAACTTTGTTTGTCCTATAATGATTTGGAATCGGGTTTCGGTTTACAGTCGGATATTGATTTTTTTCAGAGATAGTGTCAATCTAACCTCTTTACTCGGAATTGCCTCAAATGTAACGTAATGATATTTTATAGGGGTACGCCTTCATTTATAATCTATTTTCTTCATTATATTCGGTCAACAATTTAGGACTTCTTCTTGACCCAAAACTAAAATTCGACTGTCACATAACGTCTACTGTTAACAAAACTATGAGTGTTCTTGGATTTATTAAGCTATGTTCAAAAGAATTTGACGATTCTTATACAACATATTTACTTCCCTTGTCCGTCCTAATTTAGAACATTGCGCTCCCGTTTTTAGTTCCCAATATCAAGTACACAGTGTTCGTATAGAGTCGGTATAAAAAAAATTTTTTCTTTTCGCCGTTCTGGGATCAAAACGTAAGGTTGCCTTCTTACTCTTGTAGATTACTTTTGCTTAATTTACCAACTCTTGTAAATCGTAAAATCATTCTTGGAAATATATTTATGCACAATTTTGTCTAAGGTGACATTGAATTGGTAAGCCGCATAACTTTTAATGTGCCTTTAGACCAACCCGCAACTACCATTCTCTTAACTGCATGAATTCTTTTGTGTTCTTTGTTATTTATCATGAGTATTTTATTGTAATGATCAAAAAATGTTTCTATATAATTTATATTTAAAAATGATTGATTGAAATGATTAATTGTATGACCATAATAATTATAGCAAATGTATTATAAAGTTAACCAATTTTCGACAATAGAACTGAATTAAAGTAGTCTATGTTTGAAGATAGGGGTTAACTTTATTTTTCAAAACCGTACCCAATGGAAACAGTTTTGATTAAGCTTTTGTGCAGAAAGCTTTTGCAGTAAAGTTTATTTTCATGTATAGATAGAGCTGAACTGCTCTGTCGGCCACATGCGAATCCGTTAGAACAGTAACACACTAGTACTTCATTAAGCTGCATTGAAAACCGTGCGTTTCTCTTAAAAGCTTCATTTTCATTATGAGTCCGCCAAGCAAAGTATCTCGGCAAGAAAAAATCCGACATACGTATTTTCACCGTTCGGCAGCTTGGAGCGTTCGCAGAGCATTTCTTTGTAAGGCATTTCCAGTAAGTGGATATTAGCCGATTTATAAGTCGGTACGCGAGTGAAGCAAATCTCAAGTCAACGTATTTATTGAGCGGTGCAAGTCGCGGATAGTTTAATCATTTAATACTACTTCGTTAAGTAAGCAAAAAAAACTGACCAGTGCAAATCATAAAGTATAAAAAAGAACAAAAAAACTACCAAAAAAGGTATTAACAAATTAAAGACTTCATAAAATGAGACCACAAATATAAAAACCTTTAACTAAGTATCGGTTAAAAAGATTACTACAAATCCAAATGGATACTGCTTAAACAAATCCATATTACCTGACATAAAATTATGTCTGTTTAAGAAAAATGTAAGAGTTACTTGAATTATTCTTAGGCAAGAAAGGAATATAAATTAATAACACTAATCGGCATTGCTCCGTTCAAGGTAGTGCGCAAAAAAAAAATGATTTAAAATCCTCGTTCAGTATAAAAAATACAATGCAATGATGAATATCAAAACAAATTATTATGAGAGTAATATATTCTTTATTCTGAAAAAAAAAATTGTTCAATAATTTTCAACGGATAAACAAGACTTGCAGAGACCACTCGGATTATAAACTAATTTTGAAAGGTATGTTTATTTTTTAATAAAGCAGAATAGAGTGGAGTAAGCCCGGCGTTGTGGCTATTATTCTACCGTCATCTATATAGCCATTAAAATTCAATTTTTATAACAGAACAGATTACTCGTAAATACCGAATTTACTAGTAGAGTATAGTATAGTATTGAAATCCTATAAAATCTCTATATACGGAAAATGACATAACCGTCAACCAAAATAACAATAATTGAGTTATTTTTTTAAAACTCAATTGATCATTCACTTGAAAGTATCAATCAGTGGGTTTTTCAAGTTAGTACCAGCAGTGCCACCTCTTTTATATCGAACAAAATATTCTTCACAGAGCAATCGGGGCTTAGATGGCGACATTTTTCGAGCTGCTGTCACTGGCTCGATGAACCAAGGCCAGTATTTGCGGGTTCTAAATGATAATGCGTTTAGTTCCGGAGACAGGCTTATTGGACACACCTTCATTTTGCAACAGGATAACGCCCCATGTCACAAAGTCAAAATGATTACAACATTTTTGAAGGATGTTGGTGTTACCACTTTGGACTGGCCACCTCAAAGTCCAGATTTAAATATAATTGAAAACGTCTGGTCTCTTATAAAACGTAAAAGAACAGTATCGTTGAATAAAACCAGAGAGGAGACAATTTCTGAGGTCACTTCCCTTTGGGAAGAGATATCTCTAGAGATTATCCAAAATTTGGTCGATTCAGTACCGCGACGCTTGCAAAAAGTTGTTGAAACCAAAGGAAATTATATATTTTACTAAATTATTTTTTTCCTTTGGTTTTTTTAAGTTTAAGCTTTATTATTCATATTAAAAGGTACTTGTCAAAATACTTATGCCACCACATGAAAATTACTTTAGCTTACATTTTTTTAAGTTCATATGACAAAATGTTGAATTCATTATTTTTAAGTTTGTATTAGCACTAAGTAAAACAGAAAAAAAATCATTGAGTTATATTAAACCATTAAAAAGTTACATACAAATTTGAACCATTAGTTTTTCGTCAAAATAATTATGCCGACTAGTGTAAGCTTTCCCTTTCCCATATCAACGTGGAGTTTAAGTCCGTGCCGAGATGTGTGGCCCTTTGACTTTATGGAGCAAACTTGAGTTTATAGATCTTTTGTAAATAAATAGGCATTTTGTTTTACTAGGATTTAAGTGCAGCCCGTTCACCTCCGCCCACTTACTTATTTTTTGGATTGAATAGTACATTCTTTAATTTGGCCTAAGGGACGACTAACATAAAGCTGCTCTTCATCTACATAAAGGTATACATCACAGTCCAAACGAAAAAAGCAATGGGCTTAAGACTGACCCTTGTGGGACCCCCTGAGCGAGGGGAAAGATATCAGATTTCAGATTGCCCGAAACAACTGCCTGCAGAGTCTTTGTAAGATAAGTTTTGAGAAGCTTTGATGCATATGGAGAAATATTTAAAAGCGTTCGCAGTTTGGTATAGAGAATCACATGGCCAATAGCGTCAAGAAGGGTTAATAGTGTCACTTTATTTTCATCAATCTGTTGGCGTATATCTTCAGAAATTTTCAAGATAGCAGAAGTACAGCTTCCATTCTTTTTGAACCCAGTTTGCATGTTGCTGAGTATAAGGTTGTTTTCCAGAAATTATTGAATTTGGTGGACAAATAGGCTTTCAAATGACTTCGACAGAAATGGAAGGATAGAGATGGGACAAAAAATCATTTTTAGTTTTAGGAATCGGGAGTATCAAGCAAGCTTTTCATTGAGAGCATCCACATCTGGGTGTGACTTAGCAGCCTAAGTTGGTTTGACTATTCCCATACTTCTTAGCTCTTTCCAAACCTGACCAGACGTACTTATGTGAATTTCCAAATTAAATATAAGAAAACCCACGTTTGGAGACTGCTATCTTTCTCGTGACGTCAGTTCTATTTTTATACCCTTTCAGTCAGAAGTTTGCAACGCAGTGAAGGAGACATCTCCGATTCTTGATCAGCATCACTAGGCGAGTCGATCTAGCCATGTCCGTCTGTCCGTCCGTCTGTCCGTCTGTTCGTTCGTTTCTACGCAAACTAGTCTCTCAGTTTTAAAGCTATCTGCATGAAACTTTCCCAAAAGTTGTCTTTCTATTGCAGGTAGTATATAAGTCGGAACGAGCCGCATCGGACGACTATAGCATATAGCTCCCAAAGGAACAATCGAAAAAATAAACAAAAAAAATTATAACTTTGCTGTTTTTTATTTTTTTTATTAGTTCTTCGACATAAAGTAATGGTTAAATATTTCAGAATTACGGTTTAAATTTCATCAAAATCGGACGACTATATCATATAGCTCCCATAGAAATAATATAAATATATAAAATAACCATCTAATAATAGAGTTGCAAATCATCAAAGCTTCAATGTTTTTATTTTAAACATATACGCAAGTAATTCATAATTTTAATGTTTTAAAAAATATTTAATTCTTGCAATAGCTGCAAGGGTATATGAACTTCGGCTTGCCGAATTTTGCTTCCTTTCTTGTTTTTTTTAATATTGTACAAGTCTTTAGTTCGATATCGTTTCCAACGCTTATTTCTGATTTAAGTCAAGTCTGAGATGCTGGCTTTATTTTCTCAAATAGTTGTCCAATATTAGATTTTAAGAGTAATAGTTGATCTTCAGCAGATGTCAAGTTGTAAATGAGGGTCCAGTCAAAATTGTCACAATCAGCCTGCAAATTGTCATAATTAATTGACTGATAGTCCATATAGTCCATATATCATCATGTTTGGAAAAAGCAGGAACACATAGTTGGTCATATAATAGGACAAATCACAAACAAAGAATACATCTAACAAGGAGCTACAGGATGGTCCATCTAGCGGTCGCTTTTTAAACTATCGATAATTTTGACTCTGACATTTTGAATGTCATTGTCAATGTGTCCGATATTTAGTAGAAGGTTTGTGAAGATGAAATGAAAGTGATTGACACTATTCGTCGACGGCAACGCGGCACCGTGCTCAAGAGTTGGACATTTCGCGCACTTCCCTGCAACGGATTTTAACCGAAGACCTCTGTCTAAGGCCATATAAGATTCAGTTGGTTCAGCAGCTTAAGCCGCATGCCAGGGCGGAGGAGCCACCTCAACTTCTTGGTTTTCTGGCGGGTAGCAGCACAAACCGCCATTATATGTGGTTTCCAGGTGAGCCGCCTGTTCGAAGTAAGACCAAAATATTTAACTGTAGATGGGTACGCCGTCCAGATCGAGTCGATAAGTGTTATGCCTGTTGAGTGAGAAGATTGCATGTAGAGACTTGACAGGATGGACAGCGATATTTCACCGAGAAGCCCATGCTTCAAACTCATTTAGCATGTCCTGCACCAAGACTGTCGCCTCTCTTCGCCAGAAACGCAGTGTCTAGGCGAAGGAAAATCCGTCGTGAAAATGGTATAAAGAAAAGGTCCAAGCACACTTCCTTGAGGAACTCCGGCCAGTATAGGCCGTGTTGCAGATTTTGATCCTCGAAGTATGTCAAAGGAAAAATTGAAAAATTAAGCTTAAAGAGTAAGCCGCAGTGCCAAAGAAGATCAACGGTTGATTTCACGTCTAAAAATAGTCAGCAGCAATACCTTTTCGTCTCAAAGGCTTTCAGAACATGATTACCCACCCGATGCACCTGTTCAGCAGCACCATGCAGACTCCTAAAACCTAAAAGGACGAAATCTTAGAAGTCGCTTAAGGAGAATGCGCTCGAAGATCTTAGCGAGTTTTCATTGCATTGTATAATATGAAAGAACAATAATATTCATAAAGATGCGCGTTAGGAAGAAAATAGCAGGCGCCGGAAGCGCTTTAGCCACTTTTCCGTCAATACTGTCATGCCCAGGGCCTCTATTCGACTTTAGCCGCTTTATTTCGACTTTAACTTCTTCAGCATATATCTGTGGAATAGGATGAAATCTGTAAGCAGATGAGGCGTCAGCGGCAGACTTGATTTTGACGGCAAGGTCTTTAACGGAAAAACTTATAATGAAATTACTTCTTTCAGTGGGCACTTAAACTAATGATAAAATAATTAACTATTAACGATTATGAAATAAAAATGTGACTCTTCACAACATTGAATACATATCAGGCCACACTATTAAATACTGCATTAAATTATGGTTTACTTATTAAATCACTGTTTCCAAATATCTCGATCCCGTAAAATAATGCAAGTGTCAAATAGGTCTTTGCCAGTAAAAAACGGATTTTTTGAGATAAATATAATTGCGTGTGGTAAGAGGACCTTCGAAGATTATATGCGTTTTCAACAGCTTGGTTTATATGGTCGCCCCAAGTATGTGTTGGTTGAATACGATACCCAGATTGTTTGCCTTTTTGAAAAGTATTGTATTACCTCATTATTTATTACGAGAGACTTCAGGGCTTATTCAGGATTATTCACTTTTTTATAAATAACTACATATTCCATTTAAGCTTCACAAAAAGCGTGATATACACATTTGTATGTCCTTAGCATACATATGGACTTTAAAAGAAGACATCATATATGGAAACTCATTAACATACATAGAGAATAGCTTAGGTTCTAAAACTGATCCCTGTGGAACTCCTCTAGAGAGCTGCTCAACTTTGGTCGTTTAAAAGGGTGTTTCTATGGCATGACGTCTGCAAACTAAACTTTTGAACTTTTCTGCCGTTATATAGAAAATGTAAACATTTTTATAAGCTTTCAGAACAAAACGTTTTTTACACTTAAAAAAAAATGGTACCTAAGAACAACGTTGAGTGTAGTTTTTTCATTTGGGGAGTCCATCTGCTTCGAAAAATCAAGGTTTTATCTCGGGAATTTTTTGTTGGGGGGTCTTTCATCTTTGATAAATTGTCTTTAAACATTGCTTTTGTTTCATTAAATAACACGAATTAGAAGTTTACAATTTATGGTGTGTTTTTGCTGGCTTAAGGCCTAGGTGTTTATAGTGCCTATTTTTCTTTGTTCAAAAATCAGCTTCTTCTCCTTTCTGCGATATTTTTCAAGCAAATAATTGTTAAATAGTAGTTTATAATGTATATGGTTTGTTCTGAATGTTTAAATAATGGTAATAAGAATTGCTTGATGAAGGATTGGGAGGCTATCCATCATTTCTCTTTTGACTATGAATCTAGGGTGGCTGACATGTTAATTCAAATTTTTTCTCACCAAGATATATTGGCTGCACCGAAAAACCATCGGCCAAACAGATTCCTAACCTATGCATCAACTTGCTATTATTTCTTGGGCTACTAATATATTATATATGCATATAATAGCAACATCTAAAAATTGTAGTTCTAAATTCTTAAAGTAGTTCCCAGTTCTCTGGCTCTTACAGTAACCAAAAACTTAAAGAGTTAATTACTGATATATAAATGTAAATTATTTAACCTTTTGATGCCGTTTTCCACAAAATTAAATTTTCCTCATGTTACATTTAGCACCACTCCCCCAAAATGAGCTTAAAATAGTGTTTTATCGTCTTCCTTACAGATCTCAGCCTTGGAATGTATAAAAAAGGACATAAATCTGCCTAAATAAACGGCCACGTATCAACTCTATTACCAATCATGCAATTATCTTGGCTTTGGCGTTATATGCACCTCGATGAGTATATCCGTGTGCTTAACTTGGATTAATGCTAACTTTTAGTCTTGTGGGAAAAAATCATCGTATTCTGCCAGCAAAAAAAGAAATCGAGGTCAAGTTAAAAAACGATATGCAAAGAAAACCTACTACTGTGTAAACTATTGATAATAGTTAATAGACATACACATAGCAGAATCAGAGTTGGAGTAATAGAAATTTCCGAACGCCTTTGTCCACAACCGCGCTCCAAGGCTGCGACTTTGCGATGGAATCCTGCCTAGTATGGAGCCGACACCGCTTTAACTGCAGATCCCTTCATCTTAGAGTGGTGTTTCTGGGATGGGCTTTAATATGGACACAATCCCTAAACTGTGTTTTCTGCGGAGAAAAATTGGGTAAGGTGCTAAAAAACAATTTTAAATTTACCTCATGGCTTACTTTATTAAGTTCTTGACCGTTTTGTAATAAAAGCTGCGCATACATGTGCATATCGGTCAGCGTCTTTAAGTTAAAATCAGAAGACCTTACTCTCATCGTCTTTAGTAGTAGGTTTTTATGTGCATTAAATTTATTTGAAGCCAACAATTTTTATAACTTACGGCGGACATCAAATTTGAGATCATCTCTTCAAAAAAAAAAAAAAACATTTCGAAAGTGAAGCCAAATACCACAGCCCATTTTTAAAGCTTTCTTTTTACTGCCACGCAAAGTTTAAATAACTTTTTATGAAAAAATTTTTATTAAGACAATTTTTTTGTAATGTTCATTTCAATATTTTTTAATATTAATTTTTAATAATTTTTGTTATAAAAGGATTTATATGAAAAAATTTACATCTAATCTAATAAATTTGTACTCATTTTAAGAATATGTTTGACTTTGAAAAATTGCATTGCGTTATTCACCAAAACGTTTTTTTCGCGAGGGAGTTGAAAATGGTGAATGTAATAAATACATGTATACAAGTTAATTTCCAGGATAATTAAAACCCAAAAAATAAGTTTTGAACGTTTTATTTGTTTGAAGTTCAATTTGAGACTGACTTTATTCATTTCAAAATACCCTGATCTAAGCTGTGGGTTGGGGCAGCGACGTCGACGTCGCGGAAGAGACCGCGGCGGTGGCCTAGCTCTGATGAAGTGGCTGAAACTGCAAGGTTTGCAGAATCAGAATTTTGATATTGCGCTGTGGCTACTAACCGGATGCGTGTGTTTATGTTATTGAACTTGCGGGTTCTTGACCGTTGTATTGAAATGTTGCAATGTTGCCATCGACAATGTTGCAATATTTCTCGGAAAAAATGAAGAAATATTTCTGTGATTAACTCTCCCTCCTTAAAAACCTTCTTGTCCTCAAGAGGAATATTATTAAATTCTGGAATTATTCTTTTAGGAATTGATATAGTATTAGTTTTGTTGTTTAAAACTTGTGGTGTTGGTTCTTGGACATGTAGGATTACTTTTTCTTATCTGTGGACAGTTTATTAAAACGATCAAAGTAAGAACAATGGCGCAAATTAGTGTAACTGTGGTTATTCGGTTTATTGTAGAATCATTCTGTAAGGTTTGTAAGTGCTTTCTATTTTTTATATGTAGAGCTTCCAATGCTTCTAATGACAGAATTTGTATGCGTTGTGCTTGCAATGGGGTAATTTGAATTCGTGGGATTTCGGGTTTCATAATTATTTTTTCTTTGTTTGTAAAATTTTTCCCATTTATATTTATAGTTTCGTTTAAAAATGTAATCATAAAAGTTCCTCTGAGTTGATGTGAAATATTGTTTGAATTTAGGCTGCCGTTGAAGTCATTTAAGAGTAGTATGCCATCGTCTATTTCCTCTATTGGTTCAATATGGTCCGAGTTACTATAATCACACAGCGATTCCTTTCCCTGAGCTAATTTTGAAATACATTTTGAATTACTTAAATTAATAATTTTTCTTTTTTTACAAATTTTGACATAGTTTGGGGTAGACCTAGCATTACATTGTTGGATACAAAAAGTTCATTAGTTTCTAAACGTATTATTAGTTGGTTTCTGATAACAGGCTTTAAAAGAAGATTTTCATAATTAGTTGGTTCGAGTTCAGGTATTTTTATTAAGTAAATTATAGTTGTTTTATTATGTAAGACAGACACATCAACAAATTCCAGCGTCTCTTCAATAGAAAACGAGGTAATGTTATTTTTCTGAGATATTTTATTTATTTCGTTAAGCTCAGGTTCGTTTAATAAAAGAGTATTAATTACGTTAATTTTGGCCCATTGTATAGCAAATTTAATGTTTCCTATTTCTTCTTTTATAAGTCTAACTTGTGTTTGCAAACTTGACGCAATGTTATTATTAAAAAATCTGTCATTTTGAATTGAATTTGCTAGCATGTTAGAAGTGGTTGTTAAATTATTTATTCTGTCTTGAAGCTGATTATTGATAATAATTTGGTCGTTGTTATTTTTAATAAAATTATTGAGGTTACTTTCTATCATAACTAAATCTTCATGATCTGGGTTACCTGCGATATATTTCCAAGCTGAGCCAATTATATTAATTGACCTAGCTTGACGGCTTTTTGTTGTTAAGGTAAGTGTGCTTAGAGCAGACAATGATTGAATTATTTCGTGTGTCAGAGTATGATAATGTAAACTATTTTTTAATCTGTTTATTGTGTGTTCTCTTATTTGTAGTAGTTCCGTTTCAATCTGTTTTAAATTTATGACGTGAATTAGTTTTATTGTTGATATCTGTAATTTTCCTATACCCTTATGTATTGTTATGGTATGTGCATCGGTATAGTTTGTTATTTCGGTGGTCGCGATTGCCATTGGTATCAGCGTTATTAAAAACAACATCCTGTAATTAAAAAAATGTCTCATTAAACAACGGTATTGTTGGGTTATGGGCCGATCCCTCACGAACGGACTGATAACCCCAAGCGGACAACAACTGTAATGGGTAATCTTATTTATTATAATTTTTTATTTTAAATTTTTTGTTTCGGACTGACGTGGAATAGATTTCCTAAGGAGTTTCGGACTTAGATACCTTTAATATTACTTTTATGAACTACTTTTCCTGCTTCTGTTAAAATAGTTGTATTTCTATTTTCTTTAACAATTTCCTTTTTAAAACGTGGGGATAATTTAGAGCCTAGTCTGGTATTCTGTTTTACAAATATTTCTTGTCCTGGTAGATATGATCTTATAGGTTTCCTTTCTTTTTTGTGGTTTTCTAAATCTATCAATTGTTTTTGTTTTAGTTTTTCTATGTTATCCTGCCTGCTATTTTCATATTGTTCTGGGTCGGTATTAATATTTCTGCCAAAAAAAATTTTTAATGGTCTTTTCTTTGTTACTGAATGTATTGTGTAATTGTATTCGTAAATGGCTCTGTCTTGAAGAATTGTTTTCAAAGGTATTGTATATTTGTTTATTTCCGAAAGGGTCGAATGAAATCGTTCAATCTGTCCGTTAACTGAGCTTTTGTAGGGAGGAGCTTTAAAAATGGTTATAATTAACTGATCTCTCATCATAAAAGTAATAGATGCTGAATTGAAAGCCTTTTCATTATCCATTACTACAAATTTGGGTACCCTATTGTAGAATATTATTTCATGTAACTGTTTCTTAATGTCTTCGGTAGATTTCGATTTTATAATTTTTGCCTGAGCTAGTTTGGAAAGTTTATCTATTGCGGTCAATACTAATTTTTTTTCGGTTGAGAAGATGTCAATATGGATTATGTGTCCAGGGTATTCAGGAATTGGAGTTTCTTTAATTTCTGGGTTGGGTGGATGCCTATCATATTTTCCTTCTTTACATATCCTACATTGTTTAACTAATGTCGTTATTTTTTGTTTCATTTTGGGGAAATAATATTTTTCTGCAAGTTGGTTTTTGTTTTCTTCTGCATTTCTATGTGCTCTGTTATGTGTTCTGTCAAATCTTCTACTTTATTTTGTGTAAACCTGATTTTAATGGATCCGAAATGTTCTGGATAAATTCGCTGTATTTATCCCATTATCTCTTGTGATATGAAAATTCCATTAAGGATTGACGGATTTAAATGTTTTTTTAATATTTCAATAAGATCAATATTCTGAAAGTTTGGTCGAGTTATAACGTGTCTATGAAAGGTGGGGAAGGAATAGGGGGGTTTTCTTTATAAATAAATATCTGGTTTTTAAAGGCATTTATTGGTACTTCCACGCTGGGGATGAGGTTATGACCAAAGCTCTGTGCGCTGTGTTGTGTTGCTGTTAATGAGTTAATTTGGTTGCTTTTAGGGATTCTAGACAAAGCATCGGCCACTATGTTTTCCTTTCCGGGCTTATAAAGTAGTTCTTTATTATATTCGTCAAGATATGATTTCCATCTCTTGATCGCTATCCCTCCCTTCCAATTACAATCGTGTGTAAGTGGTTCGTTGTCAGTATAGATTTTAACCTTGGTTCCACCGTAGAACACAACACAAAATTCCTCGTTTGGATACTGTAATATTACGTCTTCTGAGATTAAGGTGCTTTTTAATTTATTGAAGGCCTGAATGGCTTCACTATTGAAGTGAATAGATTTCTTCGATGAAGCTTTCTTCGAAATTCTCCCATCCTCGCCCCTAAGTAATGTGGTAAGTGGTTTTGCTAGTGCAGCGTAACCCATAATAAATCGTCTGTAATACCCTGATAATCCAAGGAAAGATCTTAATTCCTTAACGTTTTTGGGAATGGGATAGTTAGCGATGGCCTGTACCTTTGTTGGATTGGTTTCTATTCCCTTGTCTGAAATTACAAATCCTAAAAATTCGACTTTACTTTTGAAAAACTCGCATTTGTCCAATTGGCATTTTATGTTAGCATTATTTAGGGTTTCAAATATTGTATCTAAATTTTTGGAATGTGATTGTGCGTCTGGACTGAAGACAATTATGTCATCGATATAGATATAACAGATTTTCCCTATGTGTTCCCTAAGAATGTCGTCTAGGGCACGCTGAAAAAAGATGGTGCGTTTTTTAACCCAAATGGAAGTCTTGTGAACTCAAATTTTCCGTTATTCACCGAGAATGCTGTTTTTTCTATATCGCTTTCTTTTAAAAGAATTTGATGGAACCCACTTTTGAGATCTAACACAGAAAACATTTTATTATTTCCCAGTTGTGCAAGAACTGAATTTATGTCTGGTATTGGATATCTGTCTGCTATTGTCACACTGTTTAATTTTCTGTAATCTATTACAATTCTATATTTCTTAACATTGGAGGCATCTAATTTTTTTGGTACAATCCACACTGGTGAATTGTAAGGCGATCTAGAGGGTCGTATTATGTTGGCTTCTAATAGTTCTTTTATTTGTCGGTCAATTTCATCTTTGAGTGCCATTGGATATTGATAAAATTTCGAG